GAAGGTTTCCAGATGGATATGCGGAGCAAATCCATCTGGCGGAGTCAGGTTACCTGGTTTGCACTTGAGGGTCACAATAGTTTGGGTCCTAGTCTTCTTGTTTTCACAGGTCGTCCCGTCAGTATACAGCAGTCTGATGTCATTCCCCTGTTTGGTCATCTGAGGAGGAGAGAGGAAGCTGCCCAAGCTGATGCTCTTATTATTCTTATCTAAAAACAGGGAAAAATAAAAAACAGATAAAATAAATAAGCATAAATCAACATGTATACTGCGTAGATTACATCTTGGTAGGTTTATTGTTCATCAGAAAAGTGGATTTCTTACCCACAGCACAGAAGGAAGCGTCTTCTGGACAGTTAGCGGCTCCTCCTCGCTTCAGCACTTTGTGGCAGATGTTCAGGTAGTAGCGCATGTCTGATTTTGTAGCTCGCTCACCCACCGCCTCCCAGTTGTCGCTGTCATTTGACTCTGAAGCAAAGCAAAGAAACGCAGAGAAGGGGGATTTTTTTTTTTTTTTTTAACAGCAAATTTTTAAAGAAATTATGAATGATGCCAAAAAAACTGCTTTGTAAAATGTTTTGTTTCAGATCGAAGTTAATAGTTTTTATGCTAAATGTCTGATGTTTACATATTAATAATTTACTATAATGTTTAGCCAGAAGCAGCCTGAATGTAACTGATCCTCTATGGACACAGATACTTTCCCTCGACACAATAGATCAAGTCTGAAATTATCCCTTACATTTTTAGACACTTTAAAATACGTATTTTTGTTTTTTTTTGGTTTTATGCAAAATTGAGAATATTTATTAAAAAGAAACATTTAAACATGGGAAGAAACACATCATTTCAAAAAATTATCTGTACGATTCATTTGGCAGAAAGATTTCCCTAGAATGCCTAAGTGAGGTGGGCCTTTTCAAAAAGGTATTAAAAGAAACTCACCGGGGTACTTGGTAAGGCGGGAGAGGTCGTAGTGTTTGCTGCCATCTCTGACCTGACAAAGCAGATCCTCCTTCTCTTTGACACAAGCAAACGCTGTATCCCAGTTAAAATAATACGTACAATCTGTCTCCCCGGCAAAAACTGGAGTCCCATGACCATTGTTTGCTGCAGAAGACCAAGGAAATTAACTTAATTCACCTCATTCAACATTTTTATCAAATATTTACTTCTAAGAAGTCATATTCGCCAATTTATCATATAAAACACTTTAAACCAAAATTTATTTAAGATGATTCCCTTATTAAGCATAAGGCAAAAGAAATTGGATTGGTTTCCATTTTTCTCCTTTAAACAGAATAACTGGATGCCTTAATGATAAAGGTAAAATCAAAAGTTTAAAAACAAGTAAGTGCTTAACAAATGTAATGATTTAACAGGAACTTAGAAATAAATGTTTTTCTTACAGGCTGTTTTGTTACACTGGAAGTTAATGATGGTCATTCTCTGGAAGCCAGAGGAGCATTTATCTCCACCGGGATAAATCAGACTGAGGTCTCCATCTGAATACCTGCAGAGGAGCAAACGACAGCAGAAAAGGAAGTTTAACAGAGAGTTGGCTACTCATGTGAGTAAGTGCAGATTTATTAATATTATCTTTATTTCTAAAGAACTCTAAATCCAAGAAAATCTCAAAGGGCTGTGTGATAAAACAATACAAACAGAAATGCATAACAAAAAAAATGAAGCACATATAAAAAGTATTACTGTTACATGTAATCTTTTTAATTCTTTCACAATGTTTCTTGATGCTAACATGACTGAGCTGCAACTGTGGTGAAACATTTCAGCTTTAATTGGGAGTAACTAATTATGGAGTTATCCACACCCACGCTGCTGGACTAATCATCAAGCTGCAAGTTTCTTGATTTCCCATAACAAATCTCTTCCTTTCCCAGAATGTCATGGCTCCATCCAACAAGTTTGCCTTTAGACTTTAGAAAAAAAGTAATAAATGAAGTCTAGTTGGGAATGGCCGCTCTGAGCAGTGTGTCAGCCGGCTTGGGCTCCATGCAGATGTTTACTGACATGTCTGTATTTGGGGGCTTAACGCTGTTGAATAGGACCACAGTTAGGTTTCGTTTTTGAACGATGACAGATGTCTTTACCTCACTATCATCTCAGGTCCTTCTCACATGAAAAAATTAGGGATGCACGATATAATCGGCCCCTTATCGGTATCGGCCTTAAAACTGAATATCGGACATCGGCCACCCCACCGATATTTAACCCGATATTTGATCAGCTTCTGAGTTTCTAAAGT